GGACTCTCGGTTTATCAAAAGTAGCTTCATCGTTAAGATCTCAGCTCATTCCCACTAATGCCTCTTCAACCGCCACGTGTGACTGACAAAGTCAGCGACGGTGAGGTTGGGTAAGGAGTCCGGAATCCTTTTTTCTTTTTTCTAAAAAGAAAAAAAAAAGTCCCTTGGGCCAGAATTGGTTGGTATCGCTATCTAAATCTGTGCAATCTATGCAGAGGCTGCTTACGCCAAAGTGAAAGATACAATCGGGTAATACAACTCAAGGGTTTAGATTTCAATGCTGTAACACTTTGGAGCCATTATTCAAAGCGAGACTTACGCCTTATAACGACGTGCAAAGATCATGTGTCGGTATGCAGTCAAAACAATACAACAAGCAGGCTGGTACAGAAATGACCATTTGACCATCGTGTTGCTGAATTGATGAAGAAAGTCCCTGTACAAGCACTATTACAGAATTTTAGGATGCGAATAAATCCAAGAATGATCTGAGATATGGCGTCATCATCTTGTCGATGCAGATATGGTTCTTGAAATATGAAAAATACCGGCAGACCGCTGAGTTCCCAAGAACAGCGAATTAAGCCGGTAGCCGAAGACGGGTTGGAGTATGATTACCAGCAGCCTTGTAGAGTCTTTCCATCACTGTTGAACCGAGACCAAAGTCGGGTAGTGCTTCAACAAGAATGATATCAACCAAAACTTCTTCATCGAGATGTCGTATTGCTGAGAATAGCCTCTGAGCACTAATTTCGGGTTGTGTGAGTGAACCTAAGCTAGAATGATGAAGGGTAACAGAAACTGGGTCTAGAATCCTTTCACACAACTCGAACTGTTCAAATAATTTGCTGTTCTCAATCAGCATGAGACCTATTGATTTTTTTTTATCTGATGAACTGCAATTCGCGTATTCCTTGGTGTAATCAGAGATAAATTGGGCCGGTGTGGGAATATCTTTCTCGTCGCACGTATCATGAGTTTTCACGAGATCGATGATGATGACCTTCGCCTTTGGCGAATAATGCTTGTACTTCATACCTGGGGTTGTTGGCTTAGCCTCCGGAGCAAGATCTTTTCCATGGCTCTTATAAACCTCGACCGTTGGAGTGGTGGTCAGTGTTCCCAGGGCATTCGCGTCTAAGAGACATTGATTGATGTCTTCGACACTCAAGCCACCTAGCCTTAGTATGCGCAATCGTCCATCTAGGTTCAGACCATCGACGACTGTGCTTTCGACTCCAACCTCGCATGGACCACCATTCAGGATGAGTTCAATCTTGCCTTCCAGATCTCGTTTGACATGAGCTGCTTGAGTTGGGCTTGGTCGACCGCTTAAATTGGCAGACGGCGCAGCAATAGGTGAACCACTTGAAGCAATCAAAGCTCTGGCAATCGGATGTGCAGGTATACGGACAGCAAACGTTTTCAATCCGCACGTGACGATGTCCGGTATCTTTGATGTTGACTGCTCAGCCGATGTCGTAGGCACCAAGATCGTTAACGGGCCAGGCCAGAACCGGTCGACCAGGACTTTGTAGACGGTAGGTAAAGACCAGTCTGGTGGTAATAGACTCTGAAGCATATGAAGTGAAGAGACATGAACGATCAGAGGATTGTCAGATGGTCTTCCTTTCGTTTGATAAATTTTTGAAACCGCCGTTGCGGAGGTAGCGCAGGCACCGAGACCGTAGACGGTTTCGGTAGGAAAAGCCACGAGTGACTCTGCCTGAATTAAACGAGAGGCAAGTTGGATTGCGGAAGCGGTCTGAGGGCAATGAGTATGTGGGAGGCCGAGGTGATCTGGGTGTAAAATACAAGGATGAGAGAACAGCACCGTGAGCCTATGGACAGTGTGAAGGCTTCAAAAGACGTAAGCTTTACCAGATGTGAAGGTGATGGCAGTAGGATTGCACTCGAGGATGTTGGTTGAGGTCTGTTGAACGTTTGACTGGCCCATTGAAGGATTTGGAAACATCCTCAAAATTGGGTTCGGTTGAGTTTGAAAAACCCGATGATGCAAAAAAAAGAGACCAACGCGGAGCTGGTGGTTGATGGTCATTTATTTGAGAAATTTAAATACTTTTGACTTATTTTATCACATTTTGGCTTGGCTTAGGTCCTAATTAATAAGACTACTTTGACACGCTCCAGCTTGAAGTGGGGCTCATGACAGAATATCATATGTAGCCCCATTCAAAACAATTCACTACAGAAAAGACAGCGCTGATTGAAAGAAAGTTTTATCAAGTTTGAAAATGTTAGTCGTGGGCTATCGGAGTCTTTCTCAAATGGCTGTTTGTGAGATCAGAGTATCAGGTATGGGACTGAGACTGAGACAGGTATAAGCATCCCTAACTACTTGTATGAGCCTAATAATGTAACTGCTTGTCGTTTTAAACTTGTAAGCGAAGATCTCAGACAGTTTCCTCATCTATTTCTCTGTCTTCTATCTTTCCCTAACTCTGTTACTTGGGCTAGCTACAACTGAGGCTAACCAGCTCGTAACAGCTTTTGGTTAAAGATATCAGAGATACTTGCATCAATAGGTTATTCGCCACAGTTGCGTTCGACCGCTATCGCATCTCGCAAAATCCCTCACGATGACGACATCGGAGGAAAAGGACGTCATACGGGCAACGTTCACCAAACTGAACTCGCCGCACGCCGATTCGAACTGGATGTTTTGGGATTACCGGATCATGACGTTATTAGACGAGAAGAACTTACCTGATTACTGGCAAAGCCAAGCGAGGATAAGACCTCGACAAGAATAGGACGCCAGCAGTAGAAGTGATAAACGACGAGGCGTCAGCGTCATCCTACATCAGTGAACGAATCGATGACGACAACGTAGCACTGGTCATCGGGTACAGGGGCAAGCCGCGCCTCATGTACGAGACACTCAGGACGGTGCACCAGAACAAGACAGCAGGGGGGGGTCTACCTCAATATCCGAAAACTGATGACGCAATCTGTCGACAATGTGGACGACATTCCGAATCACTTGTCCAATATGGCATTGCTCTACCAAAGGCTCTCCTCACTGTGCACCGATGAGAAACTCTCCATCGATGATTTATATGTTACAGCGTTAAAAACCTCCTTACCACCGGACTGGTCACACGTAACCCAGCCACTGGAGGTCCAGGCAAAGGTCAGCCCTAACGCAGTCATCTCTTGCATCCAGAACGTAGTAAAACGACGAACCCGACATCAATATGAACACCCTGAGAGATGTTCGAAATGACAGAAGCCATCTACACCGTTGACTTACAAGCAGAGAGGTGAAAAGATAAGTATCTTACAACATGCACAAATGATAGCAGTTTACAACACGGAACAATCTTTCTATAAGGGAATCGTGGGTTTTGCAAGTTTTCCGTAACTGCAGCTGAAAGCAAAATTGGAGTGAATGATGTAAAGAGATAAACGAAATGCCAAGGTAAAACACTAGGGATCTAATCCCACAACATGAGAAAGACTGGTCGCAGATTGAAATGATTTAAAGTGCCATGCCACAAAGGCTGAGGAAATATAGATATTTGTTATGAAAACGACATCAAATTCTTGGCTTTCTTGTTCTTCGCTTTGAGAGCTGCTTTCTTTTCCTTCTTTTGAACTTCACGATCCTTAGCCTTCTCCCGCTCTTCTTGAACAGTCGAGACCATGGATGGCTTATCTCCTTTAGTACGTTTGACTAGAGCAGACCAACCATTGTCATCGGGGTCAACGGTAAGAGAGGTGCGGTCACCTCGTTGTTCCATATTGCGTTTGTTGGAGGATCCAGCCTTTGCATTAGATGAGGTCAACAGAGATGCTTGAATGGTGGGTCGGGATGAGGTAGGTAGGGCCGAAGGTTGATCAGGATGATCGCGAACTATTTTTTGATAAACTTGTAAACGTGAGAATGAAAAAAGTCTGAGATCTGTAACCAAAGAGTTTCAAAACGTACTTCTGACCCTCTCAGCTTCTACTTCTTCCTTTGTCAAATCTCTACCTTCTTTTACAACTACTACTACAGGCGCGTCATCGTCTTGTTCTGAGTCCTCATCCGATAAACGACCTAAAGCATCGGCCTTGTCATCTTCTTTTACGATTTGTGGTCCGTCATCCTCATCCTCTTCTTCAAATTTCGCACGGAC